CCAAATTGCATTCTGCATTTAAAACATTAACAAATATTTACATTACCTCTTTAACAATATTTTAAATGACTTAACTAGAGTAAATTTTTACTTATTAAAGGCAGCAACACTTGCAGAAATAGACATTCCATTAGCTACACAAGAACAATTAAATCCTCCTCTACCTGATCTTATAATACAGATAAAGCAATACAAATACACAATATGGCAAACATAAAACTTTGAAAAAAAACAAGAGCAAAGTGAAAAAATCAAGTTCTATACAAACTGAAGATATTTAGACTTTAAAGATAACACTAGTCATATGCTAGATAGTATTTTTAAAAGAAGAGATGAACCAGTAAACTTGGAAAAAATTATATTTCCAAACAAGATTATTACTAAGAAGAATAAAATCAAAGAAGCTACACATTTACACTACAAAAACTGGACTAAAGAAAACTTATCTAATAATGTTACTTGGAAAAAATGGTAATCAACATATAATCTACTTAACAACATTAAAGACAACATCTATGACAACTTTCTGTCTCTGATTTCTTTATCTGAACTAGAACAAACTATAAAAGAAGTCTCTAAAGAAAAAGCAACAGGATCATTAGGAATCGCAAATGAGGTTCTTCAACACTTACTACCATTAGCTCTTCTACTATTACTAGAAATATTCAACAAATGTTTAATACAAGAATGTATTCCAAATTAGTAGCTACAAGCCAACATTTGGCCAATTCAAAAAAACAATATTACAACTACGAACTCAACTCCACATGACCAATAATATTAATTGATTATACTAAAAAATCTTTGCAAAAATTCTAACAACTAGACTAACAAGTATTCTAGTTAAAAACCAAGTACTTTCTTCATACAATTTTGCAGCTTTTCCTTACTAATCTACATTACAACCAATCTCACAACTCACCCAAATTCTGGAAGATGCAATTACAAATAAAAAAGAAGTCTGAATTCTCTTACAGAATATGTCAAAAGCGTTTGACTCAATCTATATACCTACCCTATGCAAAGCATTCAAAAGAATCTATATACTAGACAAAGCTATAAATCTGATATCATTTCTGCTTTCATACTGAACTAACAGAGTAATTACAAGTCTAGGCTTAACTGCATCATACTCTGTTAAGAATGGTATCAATCAAGGAGAAACCTTTTTCCTCTTCTCTAGAAAATATATTATGACCCACTAATCTCAAAAATATATAAAGAACATTTAGGATTTTTTAGTGAAATTTCTAGCATAAATCCCAAAAAAATAAATACTTCAGTAATGGCTTATATGTTGACTCACTTTGGATTGCACCAAATAAAATATCCCTTACAAACATCTTGAACACGTCCTCTTCTTTCTACAAATTTGCCAATATAAAGGTCAATCATTCAAAATCGATATTGGTTACAAATTTAACAGATCCAGACAACTTCATACTCTTTGACAGAGAACAAATAATTGCAATTAATAATAGAAAACCATTCAATACTTGGGAGCATGGTTTTCTACCAACAAAAGACCAACACTAGTACAAAAAGAGATAATAGCTAAAGTAACAATTAATCTAAAAAAGTTACATTTTGCTAATATAACAGAAAAATAAATGATTTATATCATAAATAGTATTATTATTCTATGATTTTTGTATCGACTATACACTTCATTTCTTACCTCAGCCCAAGCAAACACTCTTAACAAGATGTGTACTCAATTAGTTAAACAAAAAGCAAAACTAGCTTGAGGAGTTCCTAACTCCTTTTTATATAATCCAGATATTTATGCACTAACAAATATAGCTCAAGCACAACTTTTAGCACTAGTTATAACACTTCAAAAAAATTTAAACCATTCAGATTTTGACTTCTCCTTTTTGAAACTATGATTGCAACAATTACAAGATGCTGCATTCACTAATAAATCAATTCTAGCACAACTTCCAATCTTCCCAACAGCTCAAACAAATACACAAACTGGCCAAATGATACTAGCACTACATGCATTGGGCATGCAAACTTCAAGAGATATTAATGATTGGCTCTGTCCAAAAAAATTTACAAACATCTTTATAAATCAAATATTAATGCAACATTCTAAAGCCTCCTATCTTAAAGAAAAACTAAATAGACATAACATTTATTGCATTGAGCAATTCCTAAATGCCACTAACACTGAACTTTTAACATGCAACCAATTTCATTATAATATCAAAAAAATACCAAGAGGCCAATGTCCACATTGGTTTCACATAATACAAGACTTAATAGCCACATCTACAAATCCATCTTCAACATACTCACAATGCAACTCACATATCTTGGCTAATTGGACTCCTATTAAAAAAGGCTGGATAATCACAAACAACTTAACTTTCAGAAGAATTTATAATCCATTTAATAAGAATCTTAAAACTTGACATTATATACTACTACCTGACAATACACTAGTAGCCTATAAAGGATGCAAACTAAGCAATACATCTTATCACACCAAACATTACTACTTCAATGCAACAAAACCTATCTATAACCTCCAAGTAAACTGCAAAAAAAGAATTTATATTAATTTAGAAGATTTTAAAAAAGCTATAACACTAACTTCGCTAACAATATCAAGAACTTATAACCAGACAGTACATCCAACATTGGCCCACCCTCTATGCTCTTTTATAAATCCACCAACAACACTCTGAAATAATCTTGTAAAAGCTAACTTTAATACAAAAACTACAATTCATATAATAAGTAGATGACAAAACATTGAAAATACTTCTCGAATAATTGCAAAGTATCACTTTCAACACTTTTATCTAACCTTTGGATGCTTTAACAACTTCTGGCCATCTCATCTAAACATATTAATAACTATACTAAATTTTATACTTACTTTATTAAGCCCCTATACTTTGATAAATATATATACTAATAACTCCACTTTAGTTAATCTCGTCAACTTTACAAATTCAATCCAATCACACAACTACCCAACATTAAACAAACAACAATACATATTTCTCCTTCTAACTTTAAAAGCCTTGGCATATGATCACATACTCACAATGATCTTTAACAAAGATCTTCAGATTCAAGAAACTCCTAGCACTATTTTCTTACTAGACTCTATATCTCAAAAGTTTTTATATAATCAGTTTGTTCCAAAACTTCTGGAAAACTCTTGCACTTACTTGGTGAAAACTACACTAAAACAAATACATTGAATTACAAACTACTTAACATGGTTCAACCAACAACAAATCTCACTATGACATATGTCACAAAACAATATTAACTGGTCATTAACTCTACAATATATATCATATAGAAAAAAACCTTTGGCTTTAACAACTGATCCAACTTTATCAATACTTAAAAACTTCAAATTAAACTAATATCAGAAGAATTACCTACTCATCTTCTTCATCATTGGAAAAATGCTACAAAACATCCAAACCATTTCTGTACAAGATGTTATAATATATCAGAAACTATTATACACCTTCTAACATGTATTAGAAACAATTCAGACCTTGAAATACTAATAAAATATACATTAATCGAAACTGCAAACAAGCTAGAACTATGCTATAAGAATACAAAAAAATTTATTCAAGCCTTTATTCACAATCACATCAAAAACAAATACCATTGGAATAATAACAAATGATGCTTTAGCACTATTTGAAAACAACAAGCACAAACATAAATATGCACCTCTTGTTCATCACAACATCATCTTAGTGATATACAAAAAAATATGGCTCACTTTTAGAGTAATACAACATGAATTAGCTATTCCAATTCCACCTCCCAGACAACTACCAACTTTTACCAAAACTATACCAATCTCAGATTCTATATTAAATAAAAAGATACAACTTTATATTATGTATAGACAATCTTTACTTCATCAGCTTATCAAGGACTAGAGGTTTAGTGACTATTTTAGCAAAGAATAGGTTGAGAGTAAAGTAGCTCTTACTTTCATCTCCCCTAGTATAGTTTTTTCATCATGTATCTTACATATATATATAATTAACTAATTAATAAAAGAGATAAAAAATAGACCTCTCTTTAAAAAAAAAAATAAAAAAAAAATAAAATTAATAATTAATATATTTTTAATAATATAAATATAAAATATATATTAAGAAGTTTATATTATATATATAAATATAAATAAAATTTTTAAATTTTAAAAAAATTTTATAATTACTAACTTTTTTATATATAAGTATTATTAATTTTACTATATAAAATTATTAATTTTTTATATAATAAACTAATTTAAATAGGTAATTTTTTTTATTATAACTTTTGTTTTATATAATAATCATAGTTGAAATTTTGCAAGTTTATATACAAAAGTTACATCAAGGTACCTGTGTAGTAGCACAAAAAATACTTAATTATGATTGGTTAATGAATTATTATGTAAATCATCCAGGTGGATAATTTTAGCTATCATCTACCTGATATTCACGTGACTTAAGATATTAAATTTTTTTTTTTTTATCATTATTAATAAATTATCGTTACTATTATTGTTATATCTACTTTAACCATGTGATAGATTTACTAGTTTTTTGTTGCCTTTACATTCTTTTTTTTATAGTACTTACTACCCAACTACTAATAAGATACTGTCCACTACTGTGCGACATTGCCTATCATAAAAAGTTGCTATTACAAGAAGTTGTCTGTCACAATCGTCACCCACTATGAAGTTTTGCTTATCACAAACATTTTTATAACAAAACATGGCTTATTTTTTACTTAAAGTTGCCCACTACAAGGTATTGTAGCTATAAACATTGTCTACTACAAGTTATTATTTATCACAAATCATTACTTATACTAATTTGTTGCTTACTATAAGTTATTCTCTGTTTACTACATTTGATTTAGTATTAATTTTCAAGTTGTTAATAGTAAGTATGCAAGTTCTATTTAGTAATTACCTTTATTACAAGCATTCTTATACCAACTTATGCCTTTAGATGATGAGTCAAACTGGTATTAATGATAAAAGTTATAATGAATTTGATAACCTGAAAGAAGAATCAAGCAAAGTATACATTCTTAATTATGCTACTTATTAGTTAATCAAGTTTATACTTACTTAACTTTTTAGTTAAGCCAGAATAAAGCTGATGAAGTTACTAGTGAAGAAGTTTCTGAGGATCTTTCTTTATTTATTACTTCAATTAACTGTAATGGAATATCTAAATGGCGTCTACTTGAAAAATTATCAATACCTCATATTTCCTTTAAACAAGCAGCAAGCTTATATATAGGATTGCAGTTTGAACACTGGGATCATGTTAATTTAGTTTTATTAGCTTATGAACAAAAAGAAAGATTTGCATGGTGAATTCAGAATAAAAAACTAGATAAAAATAGTGGGGTTTATAAGTATGTATTTGAATGTCAACATGCTAAAAACTATCAATTAAAGAAAAAAGCAACTGATCCTTCACAACAATGTAACTGGAAGTCTGTTAAGATGGGTTGTATCTGTTTTATTAATATTTGTTGGCCATTAAGTGCACCGAGTTCATCAATAACTAAATTAAATCTTATCCATCATGGTTATACACTTTGTTCTAATAATGCACACTTTATTAATATATATCAACAACTTCCTCAAAACATAATCGATAAGGTTAGATTTTATGTAAAAGCAGTTCCCAATATTAGTTAACATACTTTAAGACAACTTCTACAAGTTGAATTCAAGGACCAATTGTTTCTTGATAAAAGATTTAGCCAATATGATTCAACATTTTAGAAAGAGTGATATAACAGATCTGGAGAAAGATCCTGAAAATAATGCATCTAATCTTTTAAAAGCTTTGAGAATGTTTAAAAAAAAAGACCCAACATGGTTTATAGCAGATTATTGTGTTAAGAACTGTCTTTATCATTTATTTTGGATGATGCCTCATCAGCGAAATTTATATTTAAAACATAATAATGTAATTTTAACAGACAATACAGCACAGACAAATAAATATCGATTGGCTTTGTGTTTATTTATAGATGTTGATGAGCATCGATGTTCAAGGATATTAGCCAAAGCATTAATGTCTGATAAAATGACTTCATTATACACCTGGGTTCTCAATAATATTATAGTAGCAACAGACAATTCACCCCCATCATCAATTTTTTCTGATTGTAATACTGGGTTAGGACCAGCTATTAAAGCCACTTTTTCAACTTCACAATACTTACATTGCATTTTTCATATTATTCAAAACATTAAAAAACAGTTGGCACATTCTCTTGGCTCTCAATATATTGAATTTCTGCCTAAATTTTTGGCCTGTCAAAATACATTATTTGAAGTTTTTGAACAGAGATTTGAATTTTTGTGTACTAAAGATATTGAAGCATCTTTATATTTAAGAAACAATCTATACCTGATTAAAACATGATGGGCTAAATGCTTTACGTTTTAGGTAAAAATATAATAAGTTTAAGAATTGAGTTAGTTAAAGTTAGGGTGAGCATTAGTTAAAGGCTAGGATAAGTGTTAGTTAAAGATTAGGGTGAGTGTTAGTTAGAAATTAGGGTGAGTGTTAGTTAGAGGTTAGGGTGAGCACTAGTTAGAGGTTAGGGTAAGCATTAGTTAGAGGTTAGAGTGAGTGTTAGTTAGAGGTTAGGGTAAGCATTAGTTAGAGGTTAGGGTAAGTGCTAGTTAGAAGTTAAGATTAGTGTTTTTAGAGTTATATAATTTATATTCATCTTGGTTTACTTTTATTTTTTAATCAGGATTTTAATACCAGAATGTCTTCAATCCAACGTATAGAATCGATTAATATAGTAATTTATAAATATATCAATTTGCATTCATCATTGATGGGATTTTTTAATGAAATACAAGCTATGTTAGCTTCTGAACTTCAAAAAGCAGAATATGGAGATTATTTAGAAAGTTTACCTTACAATGTTGGGTTATCAGCATCAATCCAGGTTTTTTCAAAGCTTATAGAATATTTGAAATTGGCTTTAACAGATGAAATATTTCAAATCCAAAAAGCTCAGATTGATATTTGTTTCAAATATAATGCATTACCAATTCCTTTTGAGCAATTTTCTTTATATGACAATGTAGGTTTTGATTTTTTTTACTTTACTTTGAAAGATATAAAATTTATAAAATACTACTGTATATTATTTAACTTTAGACTGATATTGTTAATAATGCCATTTGTATTGAAGACGATTCAGACAAAAGACAAGTTGCTCTTAAACAACTTATTAGATATGTTGATTCTAACAATGTAATTGAACTTTGGAAAGTTAGGCATATAAATGTTAATACAGTTTCAACAAACTGTATTGTATTGCTTAAGGACCAATCACATGTTTGTACATGTTTACTTTTGTTTAGTAAAGGACTTGTCTGTCATCACTTTTTTTAGGTTATGTTAAAAACATCAAAGGTGAAATTTTCCATTGCTTTAATAAAGAATCAATGGTACAAAAAAAGTGCTGATTTACATAAAGTTAATACCTTATTTGATTCTTGTAGTATATCAAACTCTTCTGAGAAATTGTTTACAAATAATGAAATACAAGCTTTCTTCTCAACTATGAATACAATACGAAATCTTAGAACGGATGATTTAAATAATTGTGATGAAATTGAATATAAAATTTCAAAGCAAGAAGTTTATGGTGAATATGCAGCATTGGAATGAAAATTAGCAGCATTGGCATCTAAGTTTAATTTAACTCATATTGCTGCAACTTTGAGGGGTTTAATTTAATAAGTAGAGCAAGCTAATAGTAGTTTGTCAAATAGTCTGGATTCTGATACAATTCAAAATCCATTTCTGGCAAATTCACATAGAAGGCATGCTAAAAGAATTAAATTATCTACAGAAATTCATACTGCTCCAAGCAAAATTGTGAATACCAAGACTCGTTCCAGTGATATATATACTTGTTGAAATTGTCTTAACGATGATCATAATACAAGAAGTTGTTTAGCATCATGTAAAACTTGTAATAAAAGCAGCCACACTTATATAAAATATCCAAATAAGAAAATTGTCTAAATTTTAGTATTTATTATATAACAATGTTAATGTTGTTTACTAATCACTACAAAGGCAAATTTTATACTATATGTGTTTACATAGTTGTCTTTTTAATATATTAATGCTGCAAAGAAAAGTCTTCTCTTTTATTGCATATATAACTTTAAGATTGCTGTGAATCAGATCAAAAAATACAATCAATTAGTTAATTAATCAATTAATCAATTAGTCAATTAACTGATTAATTGATTAGTTATTAATCGATTAATTAACTAATCAAAATTGAATAACCAATTGATTAATCATGTTATTGAGCAAAAATTTGTAAATAATAGCAATTTGGCTCAACTGAACAAATGATATTGGCTGACAAGTGTCATAAAGCAGTGCTTGTTAGCCAATATCATTTGTCTGATTAAGCCAAATTACCATTATTCACAAATTTTTGCCACTTTGTAGCACTTGTTAGGTATAAGCGATCCTTTATTTAATATTAAATGTGATGATTTACATGTAATAAATAACACAATATATATAAATTAGTTTGTTTCTTATTGGTAATTATAATTTATCACAGCCTATAATTTGATACATCTTGTATAACAATTTATTGTATAACAAATAACAGACGACTAGTTTAAATTAATAGCTTTTATTATTTAGTTACTATTTATCACATCCGCAGTTGGTCACACCAAGATGTCATGTATTAACAAAATAATCATATATACAATGGGATAGTATTTAGTAATATTATCCTGAATGATACTTAGAATCATTCTTGGTTAATTTAGAAATATATCAAAATATTTAAATTTTTTAAATTTTTTTAAAAAAATTAACCAATTTTGAGCTTTTTTTAAACAATATATAATCAAAAATTAGTCTAATTTTTTTTAATAAGTATATTTATTTAATTGCAAATTAATATGTAAATTTTTGTGTAATTATATTTTAATTCAAATGTATTAAGTTGGTGTATTATGCTTAATAAGATGACTAATATTAAGAATACAATTATACAGTTATTTTATAATAAATTATTTTTGTATTAGAAATAAGCTATCAATTTATTATATATAAAATTCTTATATATTACTATACATAATTACATATTTATAATTATTTAATTATATAAATTTATTAAATTTTATTCAAAAGATCATAAAAATTAAATATTTGATTAAATTAGTCTATTTGAAATATATACAAGTTGAATTTTTATATTATATCCTATGTTACAATAAATATGAATAAGCTTATGATAAATGATAACAACTTCTTTATAGAAATACAAAATAGTCAAGATGAATCATTAAACATACCTGAATCTGATTTTAAATATACCAAATCATCAAAGTGAATCATTAAGTATATCTAATAATAATACATTATACAAGTCATATTCTTCAAAATTATAATATTTTATATTCAACAAGTAAACAGCAAAACATGATAATGTTGTTATAGAGTGAATTATAAGTGATACACAACCTTTTAGTATTATAGAAAATAAGACATAGTAACAAATGATTGCGAAGTTTGACTCTTGTTATCAATTTTATAATTGGTATACAATAAAAAATTTTATTTTAACTCTATATAACAAAAAAAAGAAATAAATAAAATTAGTAATAAACAACATTCTGGTAAAGTATCATTTACCTTAAATATGTAAACTATGTCAAATAGCTCAGTATTTCTTAGTTTGATGATTTATTATATTGATGATTTTTTGAAATTAAACCATTTTTTGCTTAATATTGTCCTAATAACAGTTTTTGATACATGGGAATTAATATGTGCAATGCAATAATAAATGTTTTTCATAAGTTTAATTTAACAGAAAAAGCTCTTGACTTGACTACTAACAACATCTTATTAATGATTGTATATAGCATATCTATAGCAAAAAAACTTAAGAAAGAATTTAACAATCTTAGCTTCTTTTACTATAGATGCACAATCCATATTTTGAATTTGACTGTTTTACAAAAATTTAATTAGTTGACAAGATTATTATTAAAATATAATCATTAATGTTATATATAAAAAGTTTTACATCTTATAAATAATATTTTAAAAGAATTATGAAACATCAAGAATATTAATTACTTGGCACCTAAAATTAACATTAAAATCAGATGAAACTTCACTTTTTACATGTTAGTAAAGTGAAAACATATAGAACCTGCCCTTAACTTGCTTATTACTAATGATCAGCTTGTTTATCAATGATATTCAAATGTTGATAATTGCTATAAAATTGATGTAAAAACAATTAGTTTTAAATATAATAAGTTGATATAAAAAGTTTATAATTAAAAAAAAAATATATATATATTTTATAATATTAAAAGAATATAATGGCCTCTTAAAACCAATTGAGCATGCTACTTATTTTCTTTCCATATTCAGTTATTCAACCTATAGTAATATTCATTTTATCTTTCTATGCATTTAAGATCACTTAATTAAATCTATAAGCAATTGTACCTTTTCACAAAACTTAATAACAAATACAATTTATTAAAAATTAGAATAATACTAGACAATTTTGGATAAAATGTTACAAATTTCATTACTACTTAACCCAAAAACAAAACTATTAACATTTAAAGGTAAAAATAAAAAAAAATAATGTAATTTATTT